GCATTTGTATCTGGATAGTTGTAATCTTATGCCATCTTCTCAATTTTTCGCTGCATTCTACTATTTGATAACCCTTCGACTGGAAGCTACATTGGTTGGTGAAGATTTTATGATTTCTTTGCTATCCAATTCTCCATTCCTTCAAGTCTTGCGCTTGAAAAGCTGCAAATTGCCATCTGCTTTAGAGATTGTTGGCCCATCCCTTCACCACCTGGAGGTGATTGACTGTCGTTACAAAGGGAATGTTACGATTTCTGCCCCGAAACTCACTGTTTTTGAACATCGCAACCTGTTGGAGTTGGAGAATATCTTACCCCTTAATGCTCTCCTCAATTGAGAAAGATATTCTTCCACGCATGGGAAGAGAGGATGATACCTCCTTCAATTTCTCACTTCACTGGTTTTGCTCAGCTTGAATATCTCAACCTGCGCATGACTTCTGGAGAAGTAAGCTATATAAGAAATTATTTTTTAACTATAGATATAGAATGTAATTAACCTCAACTTATGATATCATACATCTTTCTTATAATGTGTGTGTCTGAATTTGCAGATGCCAAGATTGCCGGGAAACATAGCGCCACTTAGGAAACTTAAGCAATTGGAGTTGTCTGTAGATGAAGGTGCTGCTCTAGGGTGCTCAAATATTTTGTGGGTTGTTCTCTTTTTGAAGGCTTCTCCTCTTCTGCAGAAGCTTACATATAGGGTGAGTCTGCATATTTAAGCATAAATCTTTGGGTCTAACTACCCAATTATTAGTCTGACAATATGAACAGCACACTCACTGTTTACAATGAAAATCACAACTCCCTTGATCACTTGCTGTCTCAGAGGACATTATTGTTATGTTGCATGGTCTTTCGACTCCATTATGCATGGGTTTTTCCTTTATCTTTTAATTATTAACTCAATATCTACTTGAAATTGATCTTCGTTGAGAGTGTTATCTCACATCCAAAATGGAAGCATTGCATGAGTAACTTAAAGGATTTTAGGCCTCCCTACCCATTGGTAATTTATTTTCATTGGTTTGGATTGTGAAACTGATTGTCAATCAGTTAATTGTTAACTCAAAATCTATAACTGAAACTAACCTTTGATTTGATTTTATTGTAAAACTGGTTGTAAATCATTCTTCCTGCTTATTGCAGCGTCCGGAATCACCTCCTGGCTTCTCTGAAAATGAAAGAAGTGAGAGATGGCAACCGGAGGAGTTCACCCATAGTCAACTTAAAGAAGTTGAAATAGCTGGATGTGTAGGTAATTGGTTCGAAGTTGAGCTTGCTATTTGCATGCTGCAAAATGTGCAGGGTCTTGAGCAAATGGTCTTGAACCCCTCCCAGAGGTACTATTACGGAGGTGGAAGTTGGATTGATGATGAACAAAGCACGTGTCTCGGTGCACCTCGTTATTGGGCAGAGAGGGGCCGGGAAATAGTTGTTGAAAAGCTTCGAGACAAAGTTCCTGGTAGTGTAAAACTCGTATTGTTATGACCACCTATTTCGACTTCTACTAGGTTTGTTGGTTGGTCCTATGGGATGGGGCATGCTTAGTGAAGCACAAGTTGGGTGTTTGAGTTCAGACAACTGCTTAAGTTAGTTTGTTCAGATTCTCTTAAGGTTATTGAAGCTTAATTTTTATTACGACTTTGTATTATGGAGTTTGAATTAAGCTAATTTATGGAATTACTGCAGCTTTTATTTCTGTTGCCTTTTTTCTATAAGCATGTATGCATGCAACACTGAAGCAAGAATGGATCATGTCTGCTAATTTATGATATTAGGGCACAAAACAAAACACAGATAAATTTGGACCCTCCATCCTGTTTATCATATTCCGGAAACTCACCTGTATCTCTCAATAAATGGATGCGAAACAAGAATCTTTAAAGGTATGGAAGTTTGAATTTACCCTGCTTTGCTTCTACTTTCTCC